GCGGGGCCTCACCGGAGCTGGGGGCTGAAAATTTGACCACGAAAGGTTCACGACTAAAGGTGTCCTCCGGGTCCGGGTACTGGTACGTGTCTACCACCGACACCGCGTCCTTCCTGGGGGCAAAGGGCGGGTGGGTGCGCCGAGCCAGCCACCTCCTACCCCGCACGCTGCGACCCCACTTCTCACCTGTAAACGAACAGGTACATTTCCTTGTACTGATCCCGCCCCAGGGGCTCACTGCTCACGTAGCTGTACTGGTGCCTCGACACGCTGCGGAGATATGGGCCAAGCCCCGAGTCAAAGCACCGCTCCCAGGCCTAGGATGCCGGCCGGAGCTCCCGACGCTGGGCCCTGCCCGCCACACCTGTTGATCTGCTCCATGAGCACGGACACTGCGCTCAGGTCCGGGTCTCGCACCTCCTGCACGAGCGTGATGTCATAGCCAGCCAAGATCTGGAGAGGGGACCGTAGGGGCGGGTCACGCAGGGCAGATCCGCCCGCAGAGCCCAGAGGCAGCAGCCCCAGCCCAGGCCCCCGCCTCACTTGTGCGATGACGCTGGCACAGTCTGAGTCCAACACTTTGCTGTCACCAAAACTCTGGATATTGAAGGCTCCAATGCGCAGCGCTGCTGCCCCGGCAGCCCCCAGGGCCCAGAGCGCAGCCAGTAGGGCCCGGGGCCATCCCATTGCTCCGAGATAGTGGGCTGGGAGGGACAGACACAGCCCTGAGCACCCACCGGGAGTCGGACACACCCCACCACCCCTCACCTCCCCAGGTGTGGGGGCCTGACAGGGTATGCCACCCGATGCTGGCCAGCACCAAGGGCAGGCTCCCCCTGCGCTCTCCCCAGGGTGGTGTGCTGGGCTCACGGCCATTCTCCTACTCCGTGGGAAAACTGAAGCCCAAACAGACGCACCCCATTACCATCCAGCCCGACTCACCTAAGATGTGGATAGGGCAGTGCCAGAGGCTCAGGATTTGGGCCCAAGTAAGGGTTTGAGGTCCAGGCTGGGAGTGTGTCCGTGGTACCAGACTCCAAGGGCTTGGTCTAGCAAAAGGTCTGTCTGATGCCTGGGCACACTCAGGTATTTGAGGCCCTGGTCCAGGGAGGGGCCAGCTGTGCTGGGTCCCGCCCCCTCAAAGTTGGTGCCAGAACTCCTGGCTCCCATTCCCACAGAGAACCCAGAAGACAAGGCAACAGGGGATCCACCCTGAGGCTCCAACCCCCAAGTCTGTCAGAATCAGGACTCAGAAGCCCCTGCCAACACCCCTAGAGCTTCATGAGGAATGAGGGAGATGGCCAGCCAGGCCCTGAGTCCAGGCCTGCTCTTGTCCCCGCCCCTCAGAAACTAGGTCATCCAGAATCTCCCTCCTGGAACGGCATCCCCTCAGGGAAACTAAGGCAGTACAATTAGGAAAGCCCCTCTTCTTAGCTCCACATCTTCCACTGTTTCTGCTACACATTGTTAGAGGCTCCTGGTCTCCTGGCCTAAGTCCCTTGCCCCAGGGAACCACATCGGGCCTCAGGAAGCTGGGGTCACAGATCCCAGTGGGCAGGGCACCAGCAGATGGCTGCCTGTCCACATGCCAGTGACACCCACACGCAGCCAAGGTGTCGCCAGCCCCATCAGGAATACTGGGCGGGGTGGCCAGGCATGAGAGTTTACAGCGTGGCCCGGGCAGACAGGTGCTGCCATGGGAGAGCCTGCCAGGGCTGCCACTGCCGCAATATCACAAGCGGTGGGTTTTCATGTTTTATTGTAAAGCAACAAAAAACTCTATTTACACCCCCACGTGTCTGAACATCTGGATTCTGTGCCGTGTCTTGTCCATACTAGGCCAAGTAGGAGTGGGTAGGGCGTTCAGGTTCCTTGCCCCTGACCCAGCCCAGCCCAGCCCAGTGGGACCCTACAGGCACCCACGCTAAACAATGACAGTCTGCACCTCGAGCTGGCCCTCTGGCGAGGCAATAACCAGCTCGCCCGCGTGCTCCAGGATCTCAATGTCCTCCGATGAAACCATGGTCACAGTAGCCTGTTCAGTGCCATTTGCACCCGCACGGGCAGTAAGCACAGTGCCCTCGCTGATGGCTGAAGCCAGTGTCATGGCCACCTGCTCTGTCAGGCTTTCCGGGGTGGCAATGGTAATGGTGTCTGCAGCAGCCGCTTCTGGACCTAGCTCCGCCTCCTGATCCATGGTCACATTCTGCACAATGATTTGGTGCCCGGCGCTGGCCTGGTGTACGATCTGCTGCACCACCTTCATGATATGGCTATCCACCTGTGGGTGGCTCACAGCTCAGCCCACAAGGTTGGGTGAGGGCACCACACCTCCCTTCTCCCTCTCCCCCAGTCCCTCACCTCTGTCTGGGTGCCCTCGATGATCTCTGTAGCTTCACTGGTCTCTGTATCATCCGTGGTGGCCTGGAAAGAGGGTCAGAGGTCAACCTTGCCTGCCCCTGGGCCACATCCCAGCCCTGCCCTACACCCACCTCAATGATGTACTCCTGGGTGTCAGCCACCACGGATGAGAATTCAACCAACACAGTGTGCGGGTCTTCATCGAGGACAGTGGCAGCTGCTGTGGGGCTCTCTTCGGACACCAGCAGCTCCTCCACCTCCAGCAGGCAGCCCCCTGAGGTGGAGAGCTCAGTCAGGGCTGGCCTCCTGCTGCCCCTCACCCCCTCCTGCCTCCCACTCGCCCCCAACCTTTAGTGCGCAGGTGCCGGTTCAGCGTGCCATGCTCGGCAAAGCCACGGCCACACTTGTAGCACTTGAAGGGTTTCTCGCCCGTGTGGTGGCGAACATGCCGCACCAGTGAGCCCTTCTCCCGGAAGCCTCGGCTGCAATATGGGCACACGTGCGGCTTCTCTTCCAGGTGTGTCCGGAAGTGTACCTGCTGGGCATTCTGAGGAGGCCACTGTCAGGATCAACCTGGTCTTGTCCACACCTAAGACTGAGGCTTTCCCCATCCACTTTTAGGGCCGGGGAAGGGGGGGATTCATTGGCCAGCAGGGAGGGTCCAAGCCAACACTGGGCAGAGGGGTAACAAGGGAGGGCTGGGGCAGAAACAAGGGATGGAGTTGGCCCACAGAGTGGGGAGCTCATGGGCGGGGGGGTCAGAAGTCAGGGCTGGAGGGCCCACCTTGGTCTTGTAGCGCTTGCCACACTCAGGACAAGGGTAGGGCCGCTCATCTGAATGGACACGCCGGTGGCCGCGCACGTGAGCGATGGTCTTGTAGAGCTTCCCACAGTCCCCACAGCGGAAACGGCGCTCGTGCACGTGGACCTCCTGGTGCTTCTTGAGCAGGTAGGCCTTGGGGAAGGCCTTGCCACACTGCACACATGTGAACAGCTTCGGCCCTGGGGCCACAGGCAATGTCAGGCCACGTCCAATCCCCAAGGGCCCCCCAACTGCCTGCTGCCTGCTGCCTGCCCACAGGCCACCCTGACCACCATTGCCGAAGGGACCACCCTGGCCACTCACAGATCATCCACTGACCAGTGCCCCACTCGCCACCCACCTGCGTGGCTCCTTTTGTGGGCCTCTAGGGTGGCAGCTGTCGGGAAGGTTTCACTGCACTGAGGGCACAGGTGGGTCCTGGATACCGCTGAGGCTTCATGGGCCACCTGCTGGGGGACCACAGCATATTTCCAGTATCCACTGCAGGCTGGGCCCCAGCAGACAGACCCGTAGCACCCCCACCCTGACAGGCTCATCATGGGCTTAGGGGTAAGCAGCTCAGGGGACAAAGTCACTGCAGAAAGTGACAGCAGGGAGAACAGCAAGGAGGCTGGCGGCCAGGCCAGTGTAATGAATAGCTTCATCTAAGGTGCGGCCCCCAGGAATGAGCACACTGGCAGCACAGGTACCTACTGTCTCCACCTGCTCCACCTCCAGCAGCGGCAGTTCTGGGGGACCATCTCCTAGGGGCTGGGCACTGGATGCAGCAGGAGGGACTGGTTCCAGGGGCCCCTCCTCCCCAGTGACCCGCTCAAGGACAATGCCAGAGTTCTGCATGGCCTGGTGCAGCAGGTTCTCCCGACTGTCCTCGCTGGAACAGGGAAGCTCCTTGGGAGCAGGGGGCTGTGGGGGAGGTGGAGGGAGGGAGGTTGGCCAGGCGGCTCAGCATATGGCACCCACCCGAACCCACCACACAGGAGAAATCCAAGGGGCCCAAGGACCACTGTGCACACCCAATAGCTTCACTCAGGAATGCCCCTGGGAGCCCCACAGTCCACTCCCATCTGCTCTTGCCTGCCCCATCTAGGGCAGCCATTGGTCTTTCATCCCCTCTGCAACCACACAGAGTGCAGGCCCAGGTCAGTCCCATTCCCACTAGAGCCAGTGCCCAGAACAGATCCTGGCGCTGAGCAGTCAGAGGCCACACCCCCAGACGGCCCCCACCTCTGGGGTTAGGGCTTTCATGCCCAGGGGAAGCTCTTGCATCTGGACATGGACTTCATGAATGACAGTGCCCTTGGCATCTGTCACCAGATGAATCACGGGTGATGTCTCCATGGGCTCGCCTATCACCGATGATGATGTAACGGTCCCCATGGCGGAGGCACCAGACCCTTTAAGGCAGAACCAAGAAGAGTCCTTGAAGAAGCCTCCCTGACCAGGGCAGCTTCAGGGCTGGAACAGGGAGCCTTCACCATGCTGACCTGTATGTGCGTCCTCTTTGCCAACAACCACATCCTTGCTCATGGTGAATCGGATTTTTTCAGTGCACGGGGTGAGAGACTTGAGGTGCCGGGTCAGTGCACCTGACTCCCGGAAGCTCTTTCCACACTTGGCACATTTATAGGGACGCTCATCTGTGGAATGGAGTCAGCTTTGGGTAAAGAAGGCAGGCCTGGAGCCATAGCCTCCCACCAGGAGGCAGGGGTGCCCCACATACTGAGCTAGCTCACCTGTGTGCCGCCGGTGGTGCCGGATGAGTGAACCCTTGGTCCGGAAAGAGGCCCCGCACAGCTTGCACTCGTGGTCCTTACGACTGCTGTGGGTGACCATGTGGGCCTTGAGGATGCTACCCTGAGAGGGAGGGGCAGCGAGGCTCAGGCAGCTCCCTGGGCAGGAGGCCTGGTCCCCTTAGCTGACACGGCCCAAGATCTGGGGCTCACCGTCTTGAAGGTCTTGTGACACAATGCACACACGTAGCGGCCATCCTCGTTCACTAGCAGCTTGAGCTGGGCCTGTTCACCCTGCCCGGCCAGCCCAGGCCCCTGAGGATCGGGGCTGCCTGAGGCCTCTGCCATCTCATTGTCGCCTGGATCCACCTCAGCAGCCACAATGACCTCTTTGATGTGTCCACTGTCTAAAGAGAAGCAGGTCAGCCTGAGTCTCAGGATGCCGTGGGCCCTACCCCTCCTGGGATCCTGGCCCAGGAATACTGCTGGGGTATATTGGAGCTGCTTGGAGAAGTTCCAGGCCCCCAGAATGTATCCAGTGGAGACCATGGTGAGCAAATGCCCCCTCCCCTAAGCCAAAAGGAGTACAGCACTAGATGTGCACAGGGGTCCTACCACTTCTAAGGGCAATGGAGTACCCAACACAGAGACAGTGGGCAGGCCAACCCAGCTCACTGTAATCTATCCCGCTTGCTGCCCCAGCTCCCACTAACATAAGAAAATGCCTCCAGAGTCACCCACTAGCATCTATTTTGAAGCAGGCAGGCGAGGAACCCGGCCTCAAAGTGAATGCTCATGAGACACCTGGGACAGCCGGAGGTTTCTGTACCTGTCGAGAGCGTTGAAGAAATCTGACAATCACCCTGGCCGGGTAGCTCAATTGATTAGAGTGTCATCCCAATGTGAGTTCGATCCCCATTAAGGACACATACAAGAATCAGCCAATGTGCCCCGTCTAGTGTAGCTCATCCCTTGCACTGGGAGGTCGCCAATTTGATCCTGTCAGGGCACATGCCCAGATTGGGGGCTCGGTCCCTGGTAGGAGTGTGCAGAAGGCAGCCGATAGATGTTTTTCTCTCACATCAATGTTTTTCTCTCCCCCGCTCCCTTCCTCTCTCTCTAGAATCAATAAAAACATATTTTAAAAAAATAAATCTGACAATGTGTAAAGCTAAGCTGTAAACACTTCACAATTTCTGTTCATAAAAATGACAGTTGGTAATAATTGTGAAACTGCTTCTTTGAAGCCTCAATCAAGCTGGCACCATGTTTTGACAAGTCATTCCCTCCAAACAGAATGGAAGCACAACAAATAAGGGCCCAGCCAGTGTGGCTCAGTGGTCGAGCATCAATTTCTAGTCAGGGCACATGCCCGGGCTGCCAGCTTGATCCCCAGTAGGGGGTGTACAGAAGGCAGCCGATCGATGATTTTCTCTCATCATTAATGTTTCTCTCTCTCTCTCTCCCTCTCCCTTCCTCTGAAATAATAATATATTAATAATAAGAAGAAGACAATAAAGCATGCCTGATGCTTTCTCTTTCCTCTGCCCCAGAACGTGTCATACACAGTAGACCAAAGGTTCAGGGAAGGGGTAACAAGTGAAATGCAAGTTTGTTTCCCAAGAAGAGGCAGGAGTGGGTCTCTAGCTGCTAATCGGCCCCAGCAGCCCCCGCTGACCATGCAAAGACACAGAACTCTCAGCCCTGGGACAACAGCAGCTGGTAGTTTAGAGTCTG